TAAAAGTAAACGACTTGTAACACAAATTATCTAGTCTGAATAGGTGCTGCCAGAAAATGTTGATCAGAGGTTAAAAAACGAAATAAACTCAAATAATCTTGACACTTGAAAGCATAAACTCCCGAATTGCCTAAACCCATTGTGGGTCCACTGTCCAAGTCCACCGACAAGAGTTACATCATCGTTGCTACTGATTATTTTACCCGATGAGTTGAAACAAAAGCATTGATAAAATTCTCGATTGAATAACTCTTCTAGTCGTGAAGTTATTCACATTCAACATCTTACTACAGTAGCTCAATAGCTCTGAACATGTTTAGGTATTTGAGGTAAGTTGATCCTTCACTTGAAGTTAAGGGTCGACCAACAGTTAACTTAAGCCTTTGAGGTTCATCACTCCAACCCTTGTTACAAAGCAATGCGGTTGCCTTAAGACTGCCATTGGATCCTTAGACTTCAAAACTCTCTTTCAGTCTTTTTTGTCAAAACTTTTGTTCGTTTTAACAGATTATTTTCAATGAAATTTTACATGACTATTTGTGAGACACTCTGTAATTGTTCTTCTACAATAAAGACAAAAGGACAATTGTAGAGCAAATATTTACCATTTATACCACAAATTGGTTGCAATAGCCGTGAGGCTTTAATAAGAAGGAAGATGATGAGTAAAGATGAAGATGAAATATCTTGTAATAAAGTTGTCTTTTTGTCTTAAGAAGGTGCAAAGAAACTCAGGGAAGGTAAAAAATGATATTATGATAATAACATAATCTATTGGGAGTTAAACATTACAATGGTAATGATTATAATAACAGTTGAGTGTATTAATAAGTGAAGTGGAAAGGTGAAGTGATACAAAATGACCAAACCAGGGGAAAAAAGGTAAATAAAAACTGTTGAACAATGATGATGATTAACTGAATAACTCATTCAATGTTTCACCTTTTGTTGAGTCCGACAAAAAAGGCAACTTCAAGTGAAGAGAGAGAAAAGAACGAAAGGAAAAAGAAGTTTCAAGATGAATCTTTTTTTTCTCTTTCTATCTCTTGCACTTATCATGACCATGAAAAATATTGTTCCCAATCAAAGGTAATCAGTCATAATTATCATTTTTTAGCATGACACTGTCACATTGTATGCTTTTTTATACCAAAAAAAGGCTGTTTAATGGTTTCAAATGCTTTCCTTTTTTTTCATCTTACAATAAGTTTTCATCTTATTCTGCAAATTTTGGATTCATTTTGGATAGTTGAATCAATTGTCTCAATGTGTGAGTCTCATGATTAACTAATTCATCATTCAAATGTCACATCAATCATGAGAGAAACATTTTTTTTCTTCGACCACAGAAGAGGCAAAAAATGAAAAAAAAACGAAAAAATTGTGACAAACTTTTTTCTTCTGGAACATCATTTTTGTGGTTCATCTTTTGTTGAACTTTTTTCATTTTTCATCAAATTATCAATTTATTTCCATTACATTCGTCATAATCAGCATAATTAATCCAAAGGGAATTGTTTTAAAGTGCTAATTAGATTGCTTTTTAACATTCCAAATCTTTCATTCATCAACTAATAGCGTTAAAGTTATTAGTGTTTCTGCGATTGAATCAAATCGATTATTATTATATAATCGATATTTCTCTCGTTCGAATTGAAAAGAAATTTTTTGATATTTTTTTTCCTTCAGGAATTTCAATTCTGATCAGTAAAGAAATTTTCATTTTCCTTTCATTTAGACACTGAATAATTGTCACTATCAATGACTGAATTCAATCGTTGAATGATTTTTTAATCGATTGTTAGGTAAAAATCGATGCTTTAGATTGATCGAGAAGCACTAATATTCAGTTGAACAATTTGTTAACTTCAAGTCGAACAGTTAATTGACTGTTAGTTCAGTTCAAAGGTAAATTAATTGAAGTTAACCTTTTTTTCATTCACCTTGCCATTGTATCAATAGATTGCCTTTAGGATAAAAAAATTATAAATGCTTATTTAACTCAATTGTAATGAAATGATTTAAGGGTAAAATGGATTGATATTGGTTTTAATCAAAGTAAAGATTGTGAATCAAGAGAAATGCAGGGAATGAAAGCTGGGAGTGAAAACAGGGAGTTCATCAGGGAGTGCATCATCAGATAACTCTTGATGAGGTTGAAAAGGGTTACAGACTACAGGTTGTTGTGATTGTCATTGGATAATTTTATTCCAGGTAAAGCTTTTGTTGAGGATTTAAACAAAAACTGTGAAAGACTCTTGACTAGTTTTTAATTAATGCACGCAAATAAGTTACAAGTATAATTGAGATTTACAAATAATGAGATGTGGAATAAGATAAAAGGATGAATTGATAAGAATGATGAGAATAAGGTTTTTGGGATGAAAAGAAGTAGGAAAATGTAATATAATGAGGGTTAGAAGTACATGTTATTTGGGCTTTATTAGAGTTGGGATAAAAGCAGAGGTTGAGTATTCATTGAGGTTCAACGGAATGACTCTAATTATGTTATCCGTTTTAGTGGGTTGTCTGTTTTCATCATGTTTATCAGTTCAGTTCAAGAAATGAGTTGATCAACAGAAAACAAAAGGTAACAATGGAGCATTAATCGGGAATAATTTGGCCCGTATCATTGACTCTCAAGCAACAACAAACATCTAATAATGAAAAGGTGAAAAACGATGAACAATTGAACTGGAAGAAGAAGATGAGATTCTGTGTTGGATTCTGGTTCAATCTCTTCTTCTTCCATCTTCTTTACCCTTTCCTTTTGGTGAGAATAAATTTCAATGTTGGATAAAATTGGATTCAGTTAATCATTGTATTCCAATTGATGAAATTCAATCTCTAAACTTGTCACTAAGACTAAACCCGCAAAGCTCAACATTGTTCATTGTTAATAATGTTCATTGAAAGATTATCTCAAGTAAAATGTTGTGTACATTGTACTTGAAACTTGATAATTATCATTATCTGGTAATTTGTTTATTGAAATATAATTGCCTTGACAATGTTGCTAATGTGTCAATAAAGCATTACATGATAAACTCATTATTATTATCATTTATATCATATTGTAATGGAGGTAAAAATATGCTTCGATTGGCAAGTTTCAAGAAAACATTCAATTATCGGGGAAACACTAAATTATCCAATAATCAACTTCATATGGTTAAAATCGTAGACTAACGACAGTTTACATTGGGATAAATATAAATCATCATTAGATTCTGCGGCGATTGTGATTAACATGATTTTAGATTGTTGTAAATGGATAAATCTTGAAAATCCAAAAGATTCACTTGTTAACATTTGTGAAAAATTTCCAGTTTTATCCATTAAATAATGATGAATTCACTTTCACAGCAATAACATTTCATCTTGCTTTATATTCATAACCATAGGAATATCAATCCATCTGGAAATAGACTTATTTGGTTAAATATTTAAATGCAATCGATAAAAGGTAAAACTACAATCAAATAGCAATTTAGTATAAAAATGCCATTTTCTGGACAATTTCTTGTTAATCAGGTGATAAAAAATAATGGACAAGGAAAAATGAAAAACTGGTTAAAATGTTTGCCTTGGAAATGGTTGTGTCAATGTATTTTTGGGTTTATTCAATATTTGGTAAATTGGTTTTAAATAGCTCAACATGTTATGGTTAACTCAATGGATTAATTTGGGTTTATCTTATAATGGGGAGAAAGAGTTGGGTTAATCTTTTGACGAGCAATTTGATATTTTGATGAGTTGCTTGGAATTGGGTTTTACAAGGGATTTTACCCAATTGTTCCGATTGTTAACCTTTTAGTTTGAAATTTGATTTAAAAATATGGTTAATAATGTAAATTGAGGTTTTAGGCTCTTTTAGCTTACTTCAAGATGCTTTGTTCATTTTATGTGTATTATGGTATTACACTGGATTAGGTTGGGTTTGCAAGTTATCTGGTTCAAGAGTTGAAATATTTCATTCCTTTATGTCATGGATTTTTCTTGTTGATCCGGTTATAGTTGAATCGTTATTTTTTTTGGTTGCTCTCCTCTTTTATATATAAATAAAGGTAAAATGGATTACCCGAGTGATTTAAAACAAGAAAGTTATCATCATCTTATCATGATCATGATCCAGTTAACTTGTCTTTTATAGCTAATACTTGAATCAAATGTTAACAGTTAATTCATTTTAATCAATTACTTTAACCACAATGAAGGCCAAGTAAAAACAAAACCAATTTAGTAATAAAATGTTATGTGATTATCTTGACAATTAAAGGGGAAGAGGAGGTAGAAAAGGAAATCACTTGACAAATGGTATTATCAAGAATAGGAAGCAAATGTATTTCATCAATAATAAGGAACAATTGGATAACAATTACACGAGAAAAGGATTGATAAAATCTGAGAAAGCTGATTCCTGGTTGATGCAATTATTAACCTTCATTGATGATCAAACAACCAAAAAGCACAAAGGTATAAGAACACTCAAAAGCAACCCAAAAGCATGTAAAAGCACCACACTTCAGTATTGAGATATCCATTTTGGAAACGAACAAATCATCCAGTAAAGGTTATTTTAAAACAAGAACTGATTAACAATTGGATTGGTCAATTTTGAGTGCAAATCACTGAGGAATCAGATAAAAATATTACATTTATCTATTGGATAAAACTGCTATGAATAGATTTAGATACGCTCAGAGTATTTACAAAAGACTTAAAACAAAGGTTTAATGGGGCAATTTCATTACATTTTTATTCACAATTTAAGCATTTAATTGAATATATCAGAGATATTAAAAGACGGATGACATTAAAAGTTGGTCAAATTGTTCAATGTAAACAATAAAAATGTTAAACAAATATTTTGATTGTAATTTTTGGTTTGTAACTCTAGAGATTTGACGAGAAAAAAATAAACGTGATTAGGCGGGCAAATTAAATTTACCCTTTTTAAGCATTTTCCCGATAAGATGGCGCTTAATAAGGATTATAAAAGCATGTAAGAAATCAAATGAAAACATCATCACTGTTTAGTTTCCAACATTTTAATTTGGGAATTACCAATTTTGTTCATCTAATTTGTGTCAAAATGATTCTTTAAATGTTTAAATTTTCCCGTTTCACCTTTAGCTTATCAAATTGACTGTCAACGAAGTAATTTACTCGTTAACTGCTGTAAACTCATCTCTATTTTTTCAATGTGAGTCTACCATTGAAAATAGCTTTTCAAGTAAGTTCTGTGTTCATTTTTTTCTCGTTTTACTTGTATTGAGTTTAACAAAAGAGCAAAATTAATGATTTGAGGGTTAAAGGTTTATAAACTTACCTAGATAAAGTGTAATTAAAAGAATAAATGTTTTAACGGTTAAAATGTTGATTTGTTTAGGTTTTAAAGAAAGCATTATGATTGATGAAGATACACTTAAAGCTGTTGATGGTAGTTGTGAATGTTTAATGAAGTAAACAATGAGGAACTTTTTAGAAGCAAAAAATCTGATGATAGTGATGAAATGGTGAAAAGAGAAGCGATGATTTTTGATGAAAAATTGTATTTATTGGTAAATCACACTGAAAAAAAGTTATCATTCAAAAAGACCGAGTGATTTGTGTCCAATAAGATCAACAATGGTGCAAGGAAGCGATTCAAGTTTTTAGATGGTCGTGATTTGATTGAATCCATGGTGTCAAAATGAAATACTTGTTCATTAGTAGCACTGTGCTTGATTATACTGACAAATTATCGAACGATCAATCAAATTATTGTCAATGTGGTGAGAGAAAAAAAACAATCAAACGAGTCAAAAGTGAAGTGTTGCTAGATTAAACAAACAACCAAAAAGATATCAAGTTTTTACAGCTTTGACTATTGAAATGAACTGCTTTTAGGTAACAACGTGAATGACTTGTGCCTCGAATGTTTCTCATATAAAAGTGAAACCTTCTATACTTTATTATAGGAATAGCTTTTAGCTAACTTAATCATTGCTGAATTGAAAGATGAGACGCCATCTCTAGGAACTGGATCAATGTTAAAACTGTAAATCTATTTATGGATTGAATGGGAATTGATGATAAACAATTTGCTTTTCAATTGTAGTGTTTAAAGTAGCAAAGGTTTGAAAGTAAAGTGCTCATTTGATAATCTCTGAATATTATTGCCATTGAGACATGATCAATAGTGACATTGAAATCCTGCTGTTTTGTCAAATCTGATTAGCCATTTATTTATTTAATACCTTGATAGTCAAGGGATATTTGCAACAATAGACATAATTTTGATCTACTTTAATAATCTTGTCTCAATCCATTGTAAACCCATTTATTGGAGTAAAGAGATTTTCTTGTTATGCTTGTCATGTCAGAAACCAATGTACCTACTATCATTTGTTTTACATTGTTTTTAATTGTTAACCTTTGCTTTCTATCCAATTCAACAGATCAGGTATTTGATGATTTAAAGGCTGCACTGGATAATATCAAAATATTGGGAGATGGCGACTATTCTGAGGACCGATTGAAGGATGCTATTGAGCCCATTCGATACCGATTTCCAAGCAATGTTACTGATCAACAAATATTGGCTGATTTGAAGACTTTGCTAGCCCAAATTGAGGCCAATGAATTGATGGAAAAGGAGGAAAAATTGAAACCTAAAAAGAAATTCTTTTCGTGTTTAAATGATGGCCAGAAATACACAATTGACCAAGCGACTGGAAATTTCATTTGTGTCTGTAAACCAGGTTACTCAGGAGAAATTTGTGAAATTGATTTAAGTCATCAAACCACAACCGAAGCTTATAATTACGACTCGCTGGACTGCTCTTTGGATCCATGTTTAAATAGTGGCCAATGTATTGAGACTATTGTCTCGATTACTGAAGGATTGATTGATAAATCAATTACTATTGGTTCATGTAGATGTCCACCAGGACTGACGGGCAAAATATGTGAAACCAGTGGGTAAACCTAATTATTGTTGAATGTTTATTTTTGTAACTAACTCATCAATTAATCAATTTATTACTATTTCATTTCAGAACTGGTTACATGTGATGATTTACAAATGGATCCTTGTCCTGAAGATCATATATGTATCACAACTGATGCAGGTTATGAATGTCAACGCTTTTCACGAAAAAAAGGTTAAATTAATGGTTAGCAAATCTATTTATAATTACCCTGATTGGTTTAAATTTATTGACCTTTCAACTATTGTCACTCTTTATCTTCTAAACTTTATTGACTTATCCACTTAAATGACAAAATAATTAATTTAATGCATTTTCCCTCTTTTCCAGACTTAATTTTGGTCTCTGACAAGCCATAAAATTATCAACACACAAAACAAATCCAAGACAAAACCATTTTCTAAACCATCGTTAACCTCTCCATATGATGACGGATATCTTCGATATGATTTACGATTGATGATGTTTTACTTTCCATTTGATTTATGGTTGCTGATGCCCTTTAAACTCATGTTTACTAACCTCTTTACTGTTCACCTACTTTACTCTCTCTAACCATTTATAGCATTTCTTGATGAAAGTACCAGAAAAGGAATGAAAAACTCAGAGATGACTAGACATTTAAAAGATTTGAATGAATTTGTTGTTTCAGTTTATCTCTTTCTTATTCATCTTCTGTCCGTTTGATAGTTTTCCTCTTGAAATTTATGATGCTACAAAAAGAAAATATTTTTGTTGCTTTTTCCTTCTAATATAATTTCTCTCTCAGTATGACAATTTTCTTAGTGATGACAGGTAACTTTGACTCTTTTTCAATCTCGTTTTGATATCCTCATTGTTGGTAGAAAGTTTCTTATTCCATGAAACCATTCTCATGACCATTCTCACAAATTGGCTTAGCAATCAAAAAATAGCTGTCTGTCTTATCATCATTTTCATCTTTAGCTTATTCTCCCATTTTATTACCAATGAAAGAAGACTCCCAAAGAATTGCTTTCTTTTTCTCTCTCTCTCTTTCTCTTCCTTTCGTTTCCATCTCTCATCTTCATCACCTTGAAATAATGACAGGCTCAATATTTAGCATATTTCCTCTTTTAGTTTTAACAGTTATTTCATCTTCTCACCCTTGTCTAGTAATTGTCAAAATTAAATGATTTTTAGTGATCCACTTTTTTTTATATTTCCCATTAACCATTGTTGATCGTCATTTCTTGGTAAAATAGGCATCAGATTTAGTCTATTTTGATGTTTCTATCACTTTCATATTACTCTACTGAATATAATGTGTTGGGAGATAAACAAGAGCAGATGAAAATTTTTTTATTCAACCCCAAACATATTATTGTAGACCTTACTTGAATATATTGCTTTCTATTTCAGCCAATCATAAATCAAATCAAATTTAATTGATGTTGTACCAAAGTTGACACCTCACGGAAGCTTTAACCATAATTTTACTCAACAAAAATCATTTTTATCAACTTTCCTCTGATTTTGAATCATCATCATCATCATCGTCTTTTCTAATCCATTCCTATGTTGCGATATAAATTCATTTTTATATCTTTGTCTTTGACTCTACCTTTCTTAATGGAATAAAAAGAACAATAAAAAAGGCAAATTAGCCCCTGTTAATTGACTCCTATTCACTATCACTTTCGTGCTTTTTAATGCTCAACAAAATTAGCTTGAAATGTCTCAATATTCAACATTGAAGCGATTATCTAAATTAAGCGAAAAATTGTATCCATGTTTTCAGCAAAGGTTAAAATTAGTTTATTAATTGCTTAAATATCAGGAGGCATCATTTCTTCAATATCACGAGCAATCTCTTTTGCATAAACCTTGAGCACATCAAAGTGGGAAGCATTATAAAGAACTTCTTTAATCTGTCCAGTTATAATCTAAAGACAGGAAGAGAGAGAGAAATTAGATGTTATTATCTGATGTCTATTGATGACCATTTGCTTTATATTACCTTGGATAAACCTTCACAAACTGTTGATGGTTTACCATGATTAGTTTTACTCAGGACTCTTATGAACAAAGCATCTCCTTCAAATTTACCCAAATCGTCCATGTGAGTTAGATAATAACCTCTATCAATGTTAGCAACTGGATTATGAAGCAAACCCTCAGCTGGTCCATTCATTCCTGCGCTAGCCATTATTTCAGATACCAATTCAAGATACCTTTCATCATCATCTTCAGCTTCCAAAAGTCGTTGCCTTGTTGATTCATCAGTATGAACACCTAGATGATCCATGGCAATGCAGAATACTTCTGATCCTGGAAGACCAAGTAAAGCTGCTTTAGTTGTTATCTGTCCAAGCCTTTTTAATCCATAAGGAGTTGCATCAATAAAACAAAGACAGTCTAATCTTTGTTTACCCACAATACGTTGTAATACTTTGGCAACCTCGAAGGCAATTAAACACCCATAAGAGTATCCAACAAAATAGTATTTTGCCTCATCGGGATATTTTTCCAGTATCTTGGCTGAATAAAACTCAGCAATTTTGGGTAAATTTCCTATTCGGCGAACTTCATCGGTTAAATCAACTCCAATCACAGTTCTTTTTAAAGCCTCGGCAAGTGCTTTCATGGAAAGAAAATCAAACAAAGCAGGAGGAAAGAAAAACACTGGCGAGGTTCCTTTTTCTGTTAAATTAATGATTATTTCTTCTGTAAATTTATTCTCTTTCCCATCATTATTTTTACTATCTTGAAACTCTTCCTTGAATCGCAATAAACTTGCAATAGACAATTTTCCAATGGCAATATTTTGCAAGGAAATTCCAAACGTTTTGTCAATTAAATCTTTAACTTCAATTGATTGAAGAGAATCAAGTCCCAAATCTCCCAAAGTAATTGTCAAATCGAGTGAATCTAAATTTTGTAGACCCAAAATGTGCTCAATTCGTTGGATAAAACCTCCTTTGGAATCTTCACTTGCTGACTGTTTCTCGGCACTAATTGCAGAATACATTACAGGATAATCGAGTTGAAGAAATTTATTTAAAGCTTGGAAACAACTGAATATTGGTTGGCAAACCGAGCCAGCAATTGTGGTCAATGAGTTGTCTTGAGCCATACCAACATCACCAACAGCACCAAATTGAATGGCACATCCAGCTAGCCCAGATAATCTTCGAGACTCACAAATTCGTTCCATGTATGAATTAGCATAACAATAATTTGATTCACCGAGAATACCAGTTGATCCGATTGAGGAAAAACACACAAAATAATCCAATGATGGACAGATTGAACGAGTAATGAAATCCAGATGTTCCGTTAACTCAACTTTACTTGAACACACACGAGTGAAATTGTCAACAGTTTGATTCTCGAAAAGTCCGCTAGCCAATGTTCCTGCAAGATTGAAGATGCCTCCGATTGGACATTCAGATTGAACTTTCTGTATTAAAGCAAAAACCTCTTCATAATTTGTGTTTGGCAAATTTATGGTGTTTACTTGAACTGATTTTTTTGGATCAGGCCAACTTTTCATTCTATAGAGAATAAATTTTTGATAATTTTTGGTCACTCCTTTTCGTGAAACCATTACAATGTTTCGACCTCCATGTTCAACTATCCATTGGCCAAGTTGAAGTCCAATTCCACCAAGTCCACCAAATATAATGTAACATTTGTTTTTATCAAATGTTGTTTGAGCCTCACAAGGAACGAAATCCAGATTATCATTTAATTTTTTAACTGTTTTAACTTCATCATTATTAATCAATTTAATCAATGATCGTCCCAATGGAAGACTTGAAGACAATTGATTGATTGCTTTAGGGAGCTCCTGGCGAGAATAGATTGACGTTTTAGTGATTGGTTTAATTTGACCATTGATTAGTCCCTTTTCAAAGTAATTTACAATGGCTTTGACACTTATTGAACGCTTTAAATCCGTTTTATTGGTCCAACTCTTCAACACTTTTGACCAGCAAATTGACTCAAGACTAGCATTTTCTGGTAACCAAAGTGGCTCTGAAAATAGGATAAAAAAATAAATGAGGGAATAATTCACTTGAACTGATGATTCAACTTACCAAACACTTCTTTTTCCAATTTTTCATTTGAAATCAGTTGGATCAATTTTCCGTTCACTTTAAGACAGTTTGCCAAGCTTTCTAGCTGCTTTATTGAGTCCATAGTCAAGATAAAGTCTACACCTTGACCGTTTGTCAGTGAAAAGATTTGCTTCATTAAATCATTTTCCGGAGACAATATTTGTTCCATTGTGATTCCATTCAAGTCTTGGAGGTAATTTGAGCAACCATTAAGACTGTGATGAGCAATGAACACACGACAACCAAATGAATTACAGATTGCGGCAGAAGATTCAAAGAGACCGTCTGTCAAATTATGAAGAAGAACTGTACATTTTGTTGTTAATGAACCTCTAAGAATCAGCGAGTAATAAGCAATTGTATAAGGCATTACAATCGCTGCAGCATCTTTTAAATTCCAATTTGTTGGCACTGGAAGGCTAAATATGACTTGAGACATTGGAATGATATTTGAAATTCCTTGGCTTGCACAGAGTCCTAATAGAGTAAAAAAATTACTTGTAAATTTGCTCATCTCAGAGTTTATTATTTATTTACCGAAAACTTTGATTCCATCTTTAGTTTGACCTGCAAATTCATTGCCAACTCCAGATAAATAACCATTGGATCGGCAATGTTTTTCCAGGCCATTTGAAAATTTGAGAGTAAAATTCAATGGACCAAAATGATTTATAATCACATTAGACTCTTTTGCTGGATTAGTAAATTTACACCAAACCAATTTCTTTGTTGTTTCATCTTCTCCGTTGACCTGGCTCCAATCAAGGTAGACTTGCTTGTGATTTACAAATGAGCGATCATTTGAGAGTTCAAAATGACGATATGAACCCCATGTTTGGTCAATATAAACATTTATCACCAAATCTTTGGCTAAAATTTCCTCACACAAATCTGAATTGAGATCAATTTTACAATTAGGACTGAAGATGCATTTTACTCTTGAACCAAATTGTTCTTCTTTCAGCGAGTTTATCAAACCAATGATTCCAGTTCGATCAGTTTCGTCAAAAATTAACCATATACGTTCATTGTCTGGTTTCTCGATTAATCTCTGTAAACTATTGATCCATTGGTAAGAGTGACTGGTAATTTTGAGATGACAGATTGATTTTTCTGGATTTAGTTGCATCTTTTTTCGAGCCAATAGCGAAACCATATCAACATCAAACATGGTATACTCTGAAATGAGGATGAAATTTTCTTCGGACAGCAATTTTTTGAATCGATTCAAAACGCCATCATGTGCTTTAATCATTTGCTGCTTGATGTAACTTGCAAGTTTGTATTCAACTGGAAATAGTGCCTTTCGACATTGTATAATAACGAAAGATGAAGGATCCATCGATGAAAGATACGTTCTCAATTTATTGAAGCTATCTTCATCGCTTTGGGTTGGTAAGAGTGCCATACTTTCATGATTGTAGATAATCAAATCACAAGTCTTGATTGGTTGAATTGATTGCAGGTCATCAATAAATGAATAGCGATTGCGAATGCGACGGAAATGGTTCTGACATATATCTTGGAATGGATAACCAGTTACTCCAAATGATGAGATGTTAATTGTCCCATTTGATTTGGCATTTTCCTCAAAGATAGACAAATGTTGCGACAATAATTGAGTTTGTGGATCATAAAGTAATCTATCTTGGTTTAATTCTGCTTTATTTGATGAAAATTGATCTCTCAAGTAATCATGAGATCTTGGATGTTTATATGTTTTCCATAAAATGTTTAGTAAAACATCACGTTGATCCTCCATTGTAGGAACATTAATCCAATCTTGCGGATTATCGAGAGCAGTTAACATCTTTTCGATTGAATGAAGGTAACTAACTCTTTTATACATTGTATCAACATGATCAAGTGGAATGGAACCAAAATAAGGGAGAAACATCTGATATCGATGGTGAAGATTATTGGTATCCAGTGAACGAGGGATTGAATTAAAAACAGGAACTTTGAAAATTAAACCGCGTGTAGCCAGTGTTTTCAGATTATCATTATGAATTAAATTGATTCCAGGGGTATTTTTTGATTGCTTTTGTACTTTAAATTGGTCATTAAGGATAACTGGATCACAGCGAAACCATTCTAATGTGGTAATTGTTTTTAAACAGCGATCCAAGTCTGCTAGCAAAGGGCAGAGTAAACAAGATTCAATAAATGTAATCCAATTACCATTGAATCTAATTTGAGCTGAGGAACCATCAGAAGATATTTTATCAATAGCCTGGCACTTTGGTTTAATGGTTAATCCTCGGATGGACATTTCAGTGTAAAACTCTTCACCGGTCAACATTAACGAGTCATTTGTTTCATTTGATTGATCAAGATAACCAAGTTCATAATCAAACGGAGTATCATCGACAATCTTGGCATAACCAGTAACACACAGTTCTTCACCTGATTTGATTACAAACTGATGGTTGACTGGGTTAGACGCTATCCTAAATTCAACTGGATCTTTAACAATTGTTGTCTTGTGAATTTGAGTGGACCATAGGGTAAATGAATGGGCTCGAAGACGTTGATCGGAACATCTCATTTTAACCAAATGATCCCAAACCATCCAAATATAACCAGCTGTAGGAAGAGTTATTGAACCATCGACAATATAATCAGAAAGATCTGAGTAATTAGAGTCAACTAAATCAATCCGGTGAGCTGTTCGGAAAGAGTCTCTGAAAAATTCAGGGTAAACCACATTGTCAAACGATAATTCATGTTTCCAACTTAGTAGATGACCAATAGAAGGGCAATCAGATTCAACAGGATAGTCAACTGGGTAAATTGTATCAATTTTTGGGTTATGGCCATTGAGGTAAATATTTCCAATTTTGATTAAAAGATGTTCAATATTTGATTGGTTTGAAAAGGAGTTGATTGATTTAACTTCAGATAGATAGAAGCTATTCAGATTGTTGTTGATCCTGACCAAAAAACAATCTTGAAGTTTCAATGATTCTATTGTATCTCGGTATTTTTGATTAACATGAAAATAATAGTCATCATTGGCGAATGATTTACAGTTGTTTGGCGAACAGCTTATTGATTGTGTTTTTACCAATTTGAACAAATCTTTTAGGTAACCATTCTGATCGATAATTGGTGAGTTGTCAATCCCATTTGAACCAAACGCTTTGCCATTGAGATGAACAACTGAGGTTAGAGCTTCTTGCCATGTGATCTGACCAGCAGCATACTTGGCCGATATTTTACCGATTCCAGTTCCAATAATTAAACTTGGCTTAATCTCAAGCGATTTGAGGAAGAAAGCCAATGTAAGCTGACGAAGAAACAAGTCCAACACCGTATCTAAAGATTGGCTTTTGTCGTTATATCCAATTTCAGTTCCGTTGGTTTTAATGTTTTGAAGAAACAATTTAGTTTTTTTCACAAAATCAGATAAAAGTGGTAAATCAGTCAGACAAACGGATAAATTTGAAAATGAATCATCAAACAAGAAGATTAGTGGTTTTGAACGGTTGTCTAACAGCTCACTTGATTCACTTTTAACTTTAGGTGAAGAGCCAAGAAGACAAAATGCTCTATGATTCAATCCAGTCTCTGGTTCACTATAACCCAGGTTAGTCAGCAATGACAAATAACCGTTGGAAAGTTTATCAACATTTCTCTCTATTGTTTCAATCATTTTATTTAAACCCTTTTTGGTTCTATTGCAGAAGAAGACTAATCTTGGTAAACCAGAAGGTAAAACAGCCGACAAAGACTTTGACAATGTTAATGATGAAGTAGCTTGTTTTAATGGTTGTGATTTAATTGTTTTAGATGGTGATGACAACACATTAACCGGTGAAAGTTTGTCCCTCGGTCCTTTCAGGATTACATGAGTATTGGACCCACCAAAACCAAAGGCATCAATTGAAATTATCTGATCGGTAAAAATGGTTGGTTTAACAACTGGTTTCAATCTGCCTTCTCTCAGTGACTCTATTCTCGGATTACAATTAATCATATTTATATTTGGTGGAATCAATTGAGTTTGGAAAATTTTTATCACCTTTGCCAGAGCACAAAGACCTGCTGACGCTTCACTATGACCAATGTTTGACTTGAGACAACCTAACATTAACGGATGCTCAGAATTTCCTCTATATGCTTCCATGATGGCAGACGCTTCAATTGGATCTCCGGCTGATGTTCCAGTTATGTGAGCTTCTACATAATTTATATCAAGTGGATTTAGACCTGATTTCCTCAAAGTTTGCTTCATTGTTTCAACTTGAACCTCTTTCCTTGGAAACGTAATCCCTTCCTTGGTATAACCATCACTACTTGTGCAACTATTTAAAATTGATGCGTAAATGCGTTTTGCTGTTTTTGATTTTTGTAAGACAACAGCTACAATTGCTTCACTTCGGATGTAACCATCAGCCTTTTCATCGAGACACCATGATTGACCTGATTTCGATAACATTTCCAACTCTGCAAAACATATTGTTATACTAGGCTTAACATGCAAAGCAATGCCAGCAACTACAGCTTGATCACATTCACCATTTTTTATGGACCAATAAGCAGTGTGAAGTGCGTTTAAACTGGCAGCACAAGCTGTATCAACAATCATTGTTGGCCCTCTCCAATCATAATGGTATGAGACTCGTTGAGCGAAATATTGCGGCAAATTAATTTTATAGTCCCATCGGACAGTCAACCCTGTATCATCGAATGCAGATCCTAGGAAGAAACCAGTTCGTGTTCCTCTCCATTCTTGGGGTTTTATTCCTGTGTAAGTTTTTTGTTAAAGGCAAAGTTCTTAAATCTCTATTTTTATTCTAATTTGAATTGATCAATGATTTGGCTTTCTGTTAATATAGTTATTCAACAAGCAATTTAAAATTGTTTTCACTCACCTGCATCCCAGAGAGCTTCATAAACAACTTCAAGAAGTATTCTTATTTGTGGATCAAGTGTATTGGATTCTGCAACTGTGTAGTTGAAGAAAGTGTTATCAAATAGTCTCGTATCCTTCAGATATCCTCTGGACTTGGGTAGCCTGGAAAAAACTAATGAATACAAATCATTAATCAACAGAAGAATTCAATTTTAATGCAAAACAATCAGATTAGGCGTTACTAATCAACAAAAACGAATCAATTTGTTTCGATGTATTAATTAACAATCTATCATTTCCTCTTTTTACTTTATAGATTTTTCCATTGCATGAAGCAAAAAAACGATTCAAGTGTCAATGATTTGAATGGTCACTACAAAATCAAGCGTGGGCAACCATATCATATTTAAACTATCATCATAATTACCCCGGTAATTTTTCAAAACTTGAATGTAAGTTATTCAATTAACGTAATATTACGATTAATGGTTAGTTAATCGTCTAAATCAATATTCAATTTCATTTTTTTCTAATTTCTTTCAGGATTGCACTTACTTTTCGGATAAGGAACCGTATCAGGACCATAAAGGGGTTTTCCAGAGAACAAATTTTGCCATAACTCTTCAACACTATCTGATTTTGGGAATCGACCAGAGACACCAGAAATGATTACGTTTTCATCATTTTTGGTTAACATTTTTGGCTTGTTGGGAACTTTTTCCTTTTAAAATAATCAACCACAAGAGATTTGTTTCAACTTAAACAATCTCATAAATTTGATGATTGGAACCAAATTCAAGATTTCAAATTCACCTAAGAAATTGAAAATTGAAACACTTGGAGTTGATTAGGTGTTAAAAGGTTTCTTTTTGAAAGTTGAGGTTACTGTTCATTAGAGCTGTTTCGTCTAAACTTTCTATAATTTGCTGAACACGAGAAGCAGGAAAAGGTGTGTGTTATATTAATTCATTTTATTTAATGAAATGATTTGACATTAACTCATTAAAGGTAAATCGTTGATTTTGTAGTCGAAATTAAATTTCAAAATCAACCAGCAAAAACGAATGAAAACAACTAATCCTTCAATTATCTTTCACGTTTTTCTAGCGTGTAAATATTACATTTCAAAAGACCCGAGTCAATTCAGTTCAAATATGATAATTTTCAACTCAAAGCCGAGAAAATGTTCAATTCTTTTAACAATTTCCAATATAATTTTGTAACATTTTCGACTTAATCTGGTAAATGTAAGAAATTTACAAGCCAAGACTATCGGAATTGATTGATGTACCTTTATCGTCGATCCATTGCCCATTTAAATGCTTCAGATGAAAAAAACAAAACCTATTTGATCTGATCTAACGGCAATTGTGTTCTCATTTCATTTTAATGGTCAAGAAATATTATTAAATAGTGTTTTTCTTGCTGAAACCATGATTCTTTCAATTCCAGAAATTGTTTACATTAATCAATGAAAATGAGAAATAGCTTAGGATCTGACCAAATAACATCTAGCTGTTGGGATCTTGTGGTGATTATGAGAAATTGATCCATTAATTACAAACTGTTATGTTGATTATAACAGTAATTTCTTTTATTTCGATTTATTATCCAGCCAAAATGTATTAAAAAGCAAGTGTTTCGAGAATGAGGAAAATTGTCTAAAAATGTAATATCAGTTGACACTGTACCACAATCCCGGTCTTTTTGTTTTGTTAATTGTAATTGGATCATAAGTGTTATATATTCATAATATAATAATAATAATGATATGTTCATTTTTCACTGATCAGATAGTTTGCTCAACTTTCATTAACAGTTAAGCAACTTTCAACAATTTTGATTACATTACTGATTTTGATTTATGAAAGTTTTACTCATTTTTAAACCTATGATATGTATTTATGAAAGCTTTTAATCATTTAAAATGATTAGAATCATTAATTGTTATTGGTACTAGCTTTTGCTCTAAAATTTATTCTTCAATCGTTAAATCTTACATTAGCTCTGAATTTGAGCTCAAGTATAAATGTAAATAAGAATCAGAAGATGTCGCTACACGATTGTTTTGAAATAAAAATTTGAATTTCTTATGATTCATGTTTTCCTTTTTGTTTTGAAAATTGTTTCTACATTTCAAAATATTTAATTGTTATTTGACATTTATCACATTTTTGCAATACTCAGGTAAAGTTTATTTTAGTAAAAATACGAGCAAAATTTGTAATAATTACCCATCTTTTACTTTGATCTTTAGTCACAAAGTGTATTGACAATCATCTGGTATTGCTTCCCAATTTTACTCGCTAAAGAATCAATATCTGTTTTCAAAAGACTTCGCAAAGGATTCAACTCTAGACATGAATTTCGACAATTCTACTCAAGACTCTATCAGAGCCCTGGGACACGTTGAACAAGAGCTCTGCCAAGGAATGCAGTCTGCAAGTGCAGCCCTAGCAGAGTTAGCTAAGGATAAGCCAAGTTTAAAGCAAGTTGAAACAAATACCAACGCTTTCATGAAAAGCCTTCAAATAGTTGAAGCAAACCTGTGTCAACATTTAGTTGGTATTAATCAAATTTCTACGGGACAGACACACGAAGGGTCTGTATATTCTGTAAAAAAGATTAACAATATGGCTTGGCATCGATTGTCCCATGTTACAAGTGAACTGAACAAAATCGAGTTGCCGAAATAGCAAACTTTATTCTTTTTTAATGTACTTTGCAGAAATATGTGATCCATTTAATACGAAAAAGTGAATAAACCAACATTCAGTATGTATACCATTTTAGTAGAAAGTTAATGTAGTGATTTATTCGTATAGGTATGGACATAATTGAAAAATAGTTTTATCTTCGTGTTGACATGTGAAGAGGACATCACGAAATTTATCTATAATAGCCAAAAGCTGTGAACGTTTCACATTCTCATGGTGCATAATATATTCAAGATGATGTTTTCCATCAAAATAATGGCACAATTTGGCGAATAAAGTTAAATCTTCATAATTTTTTGAAGCCGGAACTTGACATATGCTTTCACATTCATAGTCTCTTAAGCCAAGCTCCCTAAGCAGATGTATGGCCCTTTCGTAATTGATTGAGAGAGATGATGCATCATTCACAAGATAATCGTTTTCAGAATCAACATCATCATCATTGGATAGAATACTCAGAGAATCGCCAGAGTTAAAATTGGAAAAGCGTCGCTCATTGAAGGTTTGTTGATGTTCGTCGCCTTTAGCGGTGTCATTAGTCCTGTCAGGAATGGATTTCTTTGTCAAACAGGGACTGGAATTAACTGGCAGTAAATAAACATAAGTATGCAATTGTGAAATTAAACGATGCTTCAGAAGCCAAACAATTTGATTAAACTGTGAAAAGAGGAAAAGAGAAACATTAAATTACGAATACATTTTGTTTCATAGAAATGTGATTTACCAGTTGTATCTGTTGCTCTGAGTTATGGAGAGGATTTCTAAGTTGGTCGATGCTTGTACCAAGACTAAACTCACTAAGAAATCTGAGCAAATTTGAATTGTTGAAAGTTGCACGAAACTTTTCGACCAAAGGACAATCAACTTGAGTTGGTGCTAAAGGATGGATAACATAAACATTGCTTTCAGTTAATGGATAGATCAATGTTGCTTTAGCCCAATAAACAAGTTGGCAGGTAGCTTTGCAAACATTCTCGAATGAAAGTTGAGCATCTCGAGCGAGTTGACCAAGGTTTTTAGTAGGTGCTGCGGCGTGAAGTATCCTTTTGAATATTGGCCGATTTTCAGAGATTGAGTCGAAAATTGTCTGAGGATCCCTCAATAATAATAAAGCGTGATATGCACGAAGAGAGCCAAAACAATTATTTAATTCTCTTGGTCCAATTAAAGGAACTGAACGATGATATTTCAAAGTTAATCGGTGAACTGTTTGAGGTATACACAAGTTCAGATCGGAGGATTTATTCAGCTTCAATTGCACTGTGCCATAAAATTTAAGATCTTCAAATATTTTTTTCAAATCCGCAGCAAGTTGACTTCTTTGCAGGATCAGGGAATAAGGTGAGGTTCTTGGCTCGTCAGACGGTGATGAAGCTTCGTCATGAACAGTCAACATGGATTTAGCCTCTTTACTGAGGTAAGCTTTGTCATCTTCTTCTTTTTTAAGTGCTGCCGCTATCAGTTGGCTACATTTGTGAAAACTATTGACGACTTCATGACTAGCATTAGCTCTAAGAGCAAAAACAACGTTGAAGGCTACAATATCTTTGCTTTTCGAGGTAGGTTGTGATGTTGGTGATTGAGGTTGATCTTGAGCAATTAACAGTGGATGACCAACAAAACGTACATCATTTATCTTGATCTCTATTTTTGCACCACATAACTCATTTTTGACAGCGAACAGGGTGGATACAACCCGATCAGGCAGTTTAACTACAGTTTCTAAATAAATATCGGCTGATGCTGCAGCAGCAGTAGAGCTTGCTACAGGATCCAATTCAAAACAGTATGTTGCTGAAGGTTTGTTGGGTCTGGACGAAGGACCTAGAGTGTAATGTGTGAAAACTTTAATTCATATGCAACAGAAAACAATTAATTGAAAGCATAACACAATAATAAAAACACAAGCATGGAACGAATTTGCATGAGGCGATATAATGAAAGATCATTTGAATCGAATGGGTTACCTGTTCGGCAGTTATCTTCAACAGGGCCTGATGAATGTCCATTGTTTACATTCTCAACAACCAAAGCAAATGGGTTTTTACTCTTTTTTTCTTGCTTTGATGGAGCAACGGTATCATCATCGATTGTGTAAGGATAACGAAATAATAAACTGTCACCTCCAATAGAGCCAGCTTTAACCAGAAATATGCCAAGAAGAAATCCATCTCGATCCGGTGAGTTTGGACTAAAATCAGTTTTACTTCTGTTACAGATTGAAGACATACCAAAACAGAAGAATAGATGAAGAGAAAAAGACAGGCAAAACTGGAAAAGATAAGGGGTAATAAATTATAAATTATAAATTTTAAACTAATATTTAATAAGAAAAAATTAAAACAGAAAGACTAAATCAATTATTGTAAACAACATCAATATCCATTATTTTTTGGCTTTCAAGACAAAAAAAAATCAACCAAATACATGTGTTAAACTGTAAACTGTAGATGGCGACGCTTATTGCTGCATTAATTAAACGCGAAAATTTTGACAAGTCTAAATTATGATTGTAAATATTAGACAAATCAACCAGATTGGATAAAAATGTTCAATCTTTTTTGGTTAAAAATCAAATATAATAAAATCAGCATATGTAAAGTTAAGATCGAATGGTATTATTAGGTTAAATCTCATGTTAGTTGTTTCTAATCCGATGGATCCAATGTCGCGTACATAGAGTAGAGTAGGTCTACTTTCAACTGACTCTTCTTGTTCACTGAATTACCCTGCAATTTTGTTTTTAACATTCAAGATTAGATTTTTTATTTATCTCTTTATTTTCTGATTTTTTCACTCTTTCCTTGAATGTTAACTCGTATTAATCTGAATCTCGATATATAATCGTTATATAACAAGTGGTAATGTTAACATTGGAAATCGGTTGATAATTGATATTCCTATTACAATCATATCTTCCTCCCAGGATAGTACAATCAGTACTACATAATGTAATAGTACTAGGCTTATTAATCGCATTAAACAAGAACCAGAATGTAATTGAAATATTGTCCGCATTTGTGCCATTTAAATGGTTATAAGAGAAGTTGATACAAGTTGTACAGATGAACTGAATGTTTTCAATGTTGCTGCAGTTTCCAAGCTAAAACCAAATACTGAGAAATTCAAATTTAATTTAATTTTCAATGGATTTGGATGATGGAATGATATGATTGGGATGGTTAAATGGCTAAATAATTTCAAAACAACACTAATCAGGTAAAAGAAAAGATTAACTGTTACGAAAGTAATCACATGTTTGATAGCGAAATTTCAGGTACAAATGAGACAATTCTCAAATATTATACAATAATGTTACAATAATAACCTAATTTCCACCCATTTTATTCAATACAGACTCAAACAATAATGGAATTTCAAGGATTTAATCTGAAAGCTGAGATTTAACGTCATGAGAGTGGTTATCTTATTGACAAGACCCAATAAGCCATGGCATCCGACGTCAATATAGCTGCTTATTTTATCTGGTTATCGTAATTAGATATTGGCCATAAGATTATAGCTACGAATTGTTACATTTATAACATGAGCATTTGACTATTAAAGGGATCACTCAATGAAATTTGATTCATTTGCAGTTAAAATCTCAACATTTTAAACATGTTTTCCTGCAATTTAATTGTGGCAGTTATATTCACTGTAATTTTATGCAATGAAATCAAATGTGAAACAAGTTTCAAGTCAACAGAAGTGACGGAAAATCCTGTGATCGAAACGAAACTTGGACTTATCCAGGGAAACCTAAGAAATGAATCTGGTTTCGTATTTGAAGAGTTTCTTGGTATCAAATATGCAACCGTTCCTAAACGTTTCAAGTATTCAACTCTTCTAAATCAAAGATGGGATGGAATCTTAAAAGCCAATGAATATGGACCCATTTGCCCACAACAGGACGCGAAACTAGCAACAAGTGAAGATTGCTTGTACCTCAATGTTTGGCGACCTACGGGACTGAGTGATGAAACTTTATTACCAGTTCTATTCTGGGTCCATGGCTCAGGTTGGCGACATGGTTCTGGAGCTGGAAATCCTGGTGGAATTCTTGCTGCTGATGGAAAGATCATAGTAGTCACTATCAACTACCGATTGGGTGCTTTAGGTTTTGGCTTTGGTGATGAAAATGAGATTCAAGGCAACCAAGGAATATCTGATGCTATCAATGGTTTGAAATGGGTTCGAGAAAATATTGGCTGCTTTGGTGGTGATCCAAGTCAAGTTACTCTTGCTGGTCACTCGGCTGGATCAATGTTGGGTTCAATAATTCCAGTTATGCCTACACTTGATCATTCACTTTACTCAAAACTCTGGTTAATGAGTGGAGTCTCTACCATTACAAAAATCATTGAAAACACAACCATCGCTCTAGCCAAGACTAAGCTTTTAGCATCTAAAGTTGGCTGTGGCTCTGTCACCCCTGGACCTTTGGCACCAGAAGTTATCGAATGTCTCCAAAATGTCAATGTTTCTATCCTTATTGACAGAAACCAAGACGAAGATATTAGAGTCATTGGTGGAGCTGAAGGACCAGCCTTTTTGCCAGTCTATGGAACCCCTTTGGTCCCAGCACCGGTGATCGACCTCTTCTTGTCTTCTTATGGAAAAATTGAAAAGAAGATCATATTCAATGGTGTTCATCAAGATGAAGCTACACCTTGGATTGGAAATTTGAGCCTTAATACAAGAGATGAAGCTTATGCAGGTGCTTGGTTCAAACTGTCTTACATTAAGAAAGATCTGACAGCAGAACAGATGAAACCCTTTTTTGATTACTATTTCAATGGGATCCAAGATGGTGATACTAAATCTTTTCGTGTAGCTTTGGCCAAATTTGTTACTGATCTTTCCTTCAGATGCCCATCCATTTGTTTATCAGAAATTTTCTCAACTTATCATTCTGTTCGATTTGGTGAATATACATACATTTCAGACAAAGATGGACCACAAGCTAGACCTGATGGTCCACAACATGGTGATTCGATTCCCCTTTACTTTGGTCAACCCTTCGCTTCTAATCCAACGAGGCGAAGAACAGGATCCTATTCTGGAAAAGATAAAAATCTAAGTTTACGATTAATGAAAACAATGTCTGATTTTGTTTATGGAGTCGAACCTTTGGATTGGCCTGAATTACATTTTGATAAAAAGAATCCGGAAAAGAAACCAAAGATTAAAATAATCAACCTTACAGATTCAATAGTCGAATTTGACGATCAATCTCTTTGCTTTAAATGGGCAAAACTTTTAAACTTTGAAATAACTTCCAATTCAACCAGTTTATATTGACCGACTAACAATTTCGTTTCAATATTTTTTATATTTACCAATGCTAAATACCTGTATAATACAATTTCAATTATCTGTTCTTGCATTATACTTATCATTTGAAAATATACAACTTGGCTCTAACTGAAGCTACCCACCACTTGCTAATTGTTTAAACATTATACTGGCAAATTTAAACTCATTGTTTTATAATTAAATATTATATTCTCATTTTTGTATTATTAATATCATTTCTGACATGTTTTGAAAGTTTATCAAATAAAGAAGGAAAAATTGTATAAACTGTAGTGTCTGATATTTATTAAGCTAGAGCATAGTTCTCTGTCACATTTACTGTAGCATCTCTCACGTAAACGCTTGAATATTTGTTTTTCACAAAAGTCCAACTCTGGTCCATAACAAGAGGTAGGTTGTTACTAAAAAGACCCAATTATCGTATTTATACACAAATGCTGGAAGAAAAATGGGCAAAAACGGTTATTGTGTAAAATTATTCATTCTGCCTTTAAAAACATTATAACATTTATGCATCAAATTTGTACACTAATATGTAAAAACAAGTAAAGATCGATTTCCTTCAAATTTTGACTCTGTAAGTTTGTAAAGACAGAAACTGCGCCCATTTATGCGAATTAAAAATTTCTCTGATTGATATTTTGCGAGGAAATCGAGGTTAAAGTTTAAACTTCTATCACCTCATGTACAATTATGGAAGCAGATTTTTTCATGAAAATCATAGTACCGATTAAACTTTTGATACTCACCCATTAAATGTATAGTAGTAATAGAAATACACAAGATAGCACACTTTTTCGATAATCGATATTGATTTATAATTTTTATACCTTTGACAATGCATATATCGAATTGACCTTAATTATACCGTTATAATTAACTTACCTTGTTAAATACACACGTACCTTTGAAAATACATAAGTTTGATTGATATTAATGATTATTGTACCTTTAGGAAACATTCTTACCTTTGGTAATGCATACAGCGTTTAACCTTAAATTTTCCATGATTAATGATGTAATGCAATTAAAAAAGGTTATTAGCATGCATTCATTCATTTTAACTTTAATCTTCTATCAAAGCATGCCTGCAAGGCATGTTGTGCTTAACTTTAATTATCTTTTGCAAGGATCAAGCTAAGAGGAGATTAACTGTGATCGTCCATCAAAACTTATTCAAAAGAAATAAACTTCTTAACTTTAATTACTTTTGTAACTAAGAAAGTTAAAGTAACTTTAACGATCAACATTAATCAAATTCTATGGGAAAGCCCTGCAGGGAAGATTTAGCTTTTCTTTAATCGCTTTTTGAAACATTGTTGCGAAAGATGACCAACCTTAATTACTTTTTGCACCTTTAATGCTATGAGAAGATTAAAAGAGGATGGTCACGCTGGGAGCAAACTAAATTGTCTTTTAGTATTGTAAAGCTCCGCAAAGCGGATCGTTAAAATCAATCATGGATATCGTTGCAATTTTGATACAGAACGAAGTTACAGTTTTATTTCATTCTAATAATTAATTGCCGTTTATTCGTGTAAAGGTACACTGTGGAATGTAAAATAACAAGAAAAATTGGTTTTATGAAGATAGAAATGGGCGGGCGAATGAAGAGAAAGAGAAATCAGAGCGTTCTTTACTTCTGTTTTCATTCATCGTTCGGCCGAACTTGTTTGAAATTTTCATCTTCAACTCCTCTAATCATATAAAAGTAAGTACGAAAACTTTGTGATTCCTTTTATAACGTTTGAACTTGTTTCTTTTATTTCAGGCTAAACCAACTTGCTGATTACATAAAGGTAAGGAGTTTCCAAGCATAAACTGTTTACTAATCTTCTTTTTCTTTTCTGTGACTTTGTGGGACTTTTTGTGACTCTTTGTGAACCATTGGATTTTTTGACTTTTTATGACTTTACGTTCCACTGGATTATTTTACATCATCATTTGTACACATCAGCAGCCACCAGCAACGGAAACCAAGGTTCAACATAACCAGCATCATCACCAACTAACAGCAGCCCCCAAGCGAACCAGTGTACAGCCAGCAATCGACCCCGTCAAACCCCCGGCCAACCACCAAGCATCAACCAGCAACTACATAAAGTAAGTTTCGCATACTTTTCTTGCTTAGGTTAGGTTAGGTTAAAGCGAACTCTGTTCATTTGTGTGATTTAAAAGTTTTGCTGGACTGAAGTTTTCGAGAAAATCAAGTCCAAAGTTGAAACTTCAGTCCTCTTTTGTTCAATTATGGAAGCAGATTTTCTTTAGAATTGAGACTCTGTTGGTTTGTAGAAACGAGAAAACTGAGTGCATTTGTGGTTATAAAGTTTCTCTGATGAATAGTTCCGAGCAAATCGAGTTCAAAATTGAAACTTCAATCACCTTTTGTTCATTCATGGAAACAAATTTTCTTTTGGAATTTAGAATCTGTTGGTTTACAGAGACATTAAAACTCAATCCATTTTTGATTTGAAAGTTTCTTTGATCAAAAAACTTGGAGAAAAGCAAGTCCAATGTTGCAACTTCAATCGTCTTTTGTTCAATTGTAGATTCAGATTTTATTGAAATTTAGACGCATTTAGTTTGTAGGGACATAAAAACTGAATCTAATTGCGATTTGAAAATTTCTCTGTTTGATAGTTTTTGAGAAAATCAAGTTCAATTTTGAAATTTCGATCGTCTGTTGTTCAATTATGAAAGCACGCAATGTTACAATATAAGAGGCCTGAATAAGGAACAATCTCTTTAATTGAATTTTTGCAATGATCTTGATAAATTCAAATTGTTCGATGGTAATCATCAGTTTGAATATTAGTAGTAGGAAACCATACGCTTCAAGCACAAAGTGAAGGGTCAATAAAAAGAAAGAAAATTAAACCTTGATGCGGTTTCAGCACTCAACAAGTTTAAGAGCTAAATGAAAAAACAAATTAATTAAAGAATAAGGAAAATTAAACGCCTGGGCTGATCTCTCCAGATTAGACATTTCAATAGTTTATGTTGGATTTGCGAGATTAGGGATATCGACTAAAACGCGAAAAAAATGAAATCAGTTAATTGTGAGATAGATGAAATTAAATATTTTTATCAATTATTTATTCATGTGCATAGTGAGCAAAATATTTATTTACAATAGAAAGAGTCTCGATTTGAGGAAGCCTTTGATGAAGAAGACGTGACTTTCGAGGTATGTTCGAGGTTATACTTGCCGCTTCTGTGATACAGGTCTCAGCACCAGGACCAGCGACATTCGTCATGAAAAACCACAAAAAAATTATGTATTGGAAATTCAGTTAGAAAATACATGTCAAAACTTGTAAATGCAAGTTTTACCATGCATTCTCTATGGGTGGCAATACAGTGAGTAAACAAAACTAGAAAAAAAAATTCCAAGTTTTTTTCCTTACTGTATCGCCACACATAGAGAATGCATGGTAAAACTTGAAAAAAAATGAATTTTTTTTTGGATTTTTTATATATATAATTGGGTTGTGATTCAAAACGCGTTTCACTTACCTGATAATTGACCGCTGCTACCGAAATATAAAAAAAGAGAAGCAAAATAATTTAGCAAAATTATTTATTTTAATTATCAAATCATATTGAATACATTTTGGGATTGATACAGAATTTATTTTTTGCCCTGCTCTCGTGCAGCTCTGTCGGATCGGCCATCAGGCGGGCGAGTCCATACTGATGAACCGATGCAGTCGCTCGTGCACGGCGGTATAACGCAAACATGACCAGGGGCCCCTTCGGCATTGCATTTTTTCTCGTGGCGGATACCACTAGCCCTGCAGCTGAGGCCTATGCCACAGTAGCGGCAGGTGTACTTGCGAGTATAACCTGTAACGTCATCTTCATCGAAGGCTTTTACCAGCTTGAAGTCAGAGGGCAGCAAACCAAGGGGCCTCGCGTCATCCACCTCACCTGCCTTGGCTTTCCTGCCGGTTGGTATCCTTTATTATCACCAAGGTGTCCTCCCACTCGGCAACGCCAACCAGGGTCCGAGTACCTTTCACATCCATATATCCACGCCGTTTGATAGATTTGATCGGGTGGTCACCAACGGCTGCAGATCCTTGGATCGATGGTGTTGATGCGGATGCTGTTGGTTCTGGTGTTGATGAGGGTGCTGTTGGTGCTGGTGTACGGCTGGCCATTGTATGATGAGAGAGAGAAAGAGAGAGAGAGAGAGGAGAGAGAGTAAGTGTGTCCAAGAAGTATTAAGAGAAAAGTCTGAAGACTGAATGAATAAAATCTGAAGATCCAATTCGCTTTATATACTAATTCTTCATCAAGATAACTTATCGGTCATCATCTTAAGTGCTTTTCTGAAAAAACCACAAATTTTTGTTTACCTTATTGAGACCTGAATCAGATAAGATAAATCATCATGATTTATCTAATCTTCAAATCAAAATGTTTACCCCGGGCTATATGAAATTATTAGGAAATTTTGCTTGTAAGTTAATTGATTTCATTAATCTCGAGTATCAAAAGATATTTCCTAACTCACGCGTTCACGGCAATTAAGAAACTGTTTAATCTCGAGAGATCAGCCCCGGGCGTTTAATTTTCCTTATTCTTTAATCTATTAGCTGCTTTCTAAAAGAATCATGTTTCTTTATTTACCTCTTTAACTTGTTGAGTGCTGAAACAGCATCAAGGTTTAATTTTCTTTCTTTTTATTGGACCTGCACTTTGTGCTCGAAGCGTATGGTCTCTTTTGTGCTCGAAGCGTATGGTTTCCAACTACTTTTTATTGAATTTTTGCAATGATCTTGATAAAAGTCAACTTGTTCGATGGTAATCATCAGTTTGAATATTTAGATCAATTGAGACATTTAAGATGTTGTATTATTCAAAGTTTTGTTATAAACATCGGTGCAATTAATTCCCTAATCAAATTTAGAGGCAGATTTGGCTCTGAAAATTGGGCTTTCAGACAGTCCGGACTATCTTCAACTGAGAGAGAATTAATTTTGCAAATTTATTTCATTGCTTTCATTTCAATGTTTGGATATGTCAATGATCAAATTAATCAATTTTGAGCAAAACTTGACAGTTAGATTGTATTGTAAATAAAATTTTCAGGTTTGCTCAAATCAAATCATTTTGTATACTTGAATCTTAAACTGATATAATATGGTGAGAAATGATCGTCTTTTATACTTATCTGTTTATTCTTGTTTTAGTTTTC